AGAGAGAGAGAGAGAGAGAGAGAGAGAGAGAGAGAGAGAGAGGCCAAGGACAGAGATATACAAAGCAGCCACACACCTGAGTCACAGAAACAGAGGGAGGGCACTCAGAGGGACAGGTGACCCTCCTGCAGCAAGGCTTTGGTCTTCCCTGGCCCTCTCCTCTCTGTGCTCTGGACCTAGGACAAGTCTGACCCACACACTGAGTTCCACCACAAGAACCTCATCATGACCTCATTTTCACTCTTCTTTGCTGGCACGGAGACCAGCAGCACAACTCTCCACTATGGCTTCCTGTTTCTGCTCAAATACCCCCATGTTGCAGGTGGGTGAGGGACAGCCAGTTGGGAAGGTCTTGTGACCCCCTTTTGGGCAGCAGTGGTAGGGGGCCGGGACCTCATGGACAAGAGGCAACACTGGCTACTTATGCCAGGGTTATGCCAAATCTACAGGCTTTGCACTAGCTCCCACCTAAGCCAGTCCTGGGGATGTACAGGTGAATGAAAAATCTGTTGACCTGTTTTTTCACTCCTTTCTCCTATCACACATAAAAATTGAATGATTCATCCACCCGTCCATCTGTTTATTAATTCACCTGTGTGCTTACTGATCCTTTTATCTATGATTCATCAAAGAACATACACTTTCACCCATTTACTTGTATTAATTGATTCAAGAGCTGACTCTGAACATTAATAGTTCAATGAACTAGTTGTCATGGATTCATTGGCTCATTAAATTATTATTCATTAGCTCATTAAATTATGCATCTATCAATCCATCTATCTCTGAACTAGGATTTATTCCTTAATCAGCAGTCTTTTAGTTTATGCTTCATTTATCCATCATTCCTTCATTTATTCAGTTAATAACTCATTTATTCATGCCTGATTTATTTATCACTCAAGCCTTCCATCCATTTATTTACTCATATTTTCACTGCTTCATTCATTCATATATTCCTTGATAAAGCTACCATTCATGTGATTATTGATAAGTTGAGTTTTTTTATTTGTCTCTGAACCATTTATTAATAGGTTAATTGATCTATATATGATTGGTTTATTGAATATATACATCCATTCACTGATTTGTTCATCTCATTCATTCACCAGTGTTCATTTATTGATTTAGCCATTGATTGGTAGATAGATTGATGGATTCATTTTATCATCCAGTTTTTCATGGATTAATTTATTGATTTATTCCACTGTTATAGTTGTTAGGACCTAGGAGTGACCATTTGCATGCCTAATAAGTACTAGTTCACATCTTATTCATTTTAGAGGAGGAGTTTTGGAGTACTTAATATAAAACTCCATGCAAACTTATGGTGTGTGTGTGTGTGTGTGTGTTTACCTGCGAAAGTGTAGAGATAATTTGCAACATTCACTAGATTTTAAAGGGTGAGCATTCTTGTTGATTTTTCCCTCTTTCCCTGAGCCACAGCTGATTGCTTCGAGGGTATGAATGGTATAACCCCTTTCTGTAGGGCTTTTCTGGCTCATTGATCCAAAGAAAACAAGAGCATTGCTCAAGTCTTGTGATGTGGGGTTCATTGTCTCCTTTTCTGGGCAGAGAGGGTCCATAAGGAAATTGAACAAGTGATTGGCTCACACCGCCAGCGAGCCTTGGATGACCGAACCAAGATGCCATACACTGAGGCAGTCATCTGTGAGATTCAGAGATTTGCAGATCTGGTACCTATTGGTTTGCCCCACGTGGTCACCAAAGACATTCACTTCCGAGGGTTCATCATCCCCAAGATGAGCCTAGCTGGGCTCCCACATCTTTGTGTGAGCCTCTTTGGTTTTCTAAACCCCCATCTCAACCTCTTGTTGGTTTCTCAACAGGGAAAGCTTGTTTCATCTTTCTTTTGTTTTATCTATGTATTTATGTTTTTGCCTGTGGAAGGCAGGGAATAGCAATAACTTTTATTTTTTGGTAGCGAAGATTGAACTCGGGACCTCGAGGTTGTGAGGCAGGTGGCAGAACCTCTGAGCTATATCCCTATCCCAATAGCAATAATTTTTGATCCTGTAACCTTTCCTCAGAACACTGAAATATTCCCAATCCTGACCACTGCTCTCCATGACCCACGTCACTTTGAAAAACCAGACACCTTCAACCCTGATCATTTTCTGGATGCCAAGGAGGCACTGAAGAAGAGTGAAGCTTTTATGCCCTTCTCCATAGGTAAGTTGATCTATTACCCATCTCCCAGACAATAGAGGGTGCTTCCCTTTCTGTCCTTGTGAGAAAGGATGGCAAGCACTTGTTTACTGAGCTCTTTAGTATATTCCACTTGCTTTAACCCAACTACCCTAGTCCAGCCTCACTATAGCCCTTGAGGAGACTTGAGTGTGATATTGTGTCCTAAAGACACATCTTGAAAAGCAGAGCCTTGGCAAGTACACAATTTCTAAACCCAATGGACATAGCGATGTACACCTGTAATCTCAGCTACTTGACAGGCTGAGGCAGGAGGATTATAAGTCCAAGACCAGCCTGGGCAACTTACCAAGTCCCTGTCTCAAAACAAAATAAAAAGGGGCTAGTGATGTCACATCATGGTTGACTGCTGGCCTAGCATGCATAAAGACCTGGATTCAACTCTCAGTACTGAAAAGTATTCTAAGATAAAAACATATGTGTCTCCCATTTGAGTGAGGCAAAGTACAAACAAAGAGCAAAACAAAAGATGGATAGAAGAAAACAGAGGATAGATCTCTTGGAAATGGGAAGGTGTATAGCAGACCAAGGGCAAAGGGAAATATGAGGGGAAGGGAAAATAAGTAGAATAAAAATATGCCATGTATAAGAACCTAATAATTTCAATAACCTGAATGAATGTAAACATTATAGGTCATAAAAATGAGATATGATTAATAATATCAAGAAGAACAAAAATGGGGAAGGAAGAGGGACAGAGATGGGAGGGAAGGAGAAGAGGATGGAAAAAAGAACAAAGCTATACTATGTACACCTATTCACTCCTCAAGATGATAGTAAACTGCGTGTACTACAAACATGTACTAATAAAAACAGAAAACTAAACAAAACAAAAGAACAATAGTAGCAAGCAAACCTCGTCTATTGGCATTACTCTGAAGCCAGTACTCTATTGGAGGCTAAAGGTAATGCATTAAGCAAATCACATAGTGTCTGACCCAGAAAATGTAAAGTGCAGTAGGAGAGATGGAGATTCATCAAATAGTCACAAATGATGATATAATTAAAAGACGTAATGCCCATCTTATGCTTAGGATTTCCTGGGACAATGTAAATTCTTACAGGGGCAATACTATTATTTGTCATAACAAGTGCTCTAAAGGTGGCTTTGGGAACAACAAAATAGGAAATACTAACTAATTTTGGTGTGTTGATGAAGGAACGCTTATCTAAGAAACTGGCTTCTAGGCTGAAACCTCATGTGTGAGTCTTGATCAGCCACTGGGAAGAGCATTCCAGGCAGAGGTAACAGCCAAGGCCCAGAGACTGAAGGTGCAGTCTTCATGGTGCATTTGAGAAAGTAAAAAGCTCTGGTGTGTAGCTTAGGAAAGGAGAGTAGATGAAGAGCTCAGTTGGGCAGGGCCTACAAGGCTGGAGGAGGAGATTGGATTTACCCTGGAGCACTGAAGAGCTGGGGAAGGTCTTCACACATTCATTTGTCCAAGTTCTCATTTTGTACTCTGGCTTATTTTGTTTTGTTTTGTTTTGTTTAACTGAGGAAACACAATTCATATTTATTTGTGCTACCATCTGGGCCACCAGGTGTCCAATATTATTTAAGTGGAAATCTTTCCAAGTAAATTTAAATTCAGCACTAGGCAGTAAAACAATACTGAAACTACAATAGAGCTGAAAACCAGTTTACTTCTCAGTCTTTTCTTGCATGAACCTTACTTCCTTCCAGTTATGTTGGCAAAGATTGCTGGCTGAAGACATTTTTATTTTAACAGCACTCCATAGCACACCAATAAAGAATGAGGGCATCCATACAGCTATAAAATATATCTATTTGGGCCAGGGAGTTAGCTCAGTGGCACTGTACCTGCCTTGCAAGCAAGCACAAGGTCCTGAGTTTGATTCCCAGTACCAAAAAAAGAAAAAATATATCTATATATATATATATTTCATCATGCATACAGCCAACATATAGCTCTTGATTTTCTATTTCCTATAATTTAACTTCCTGTACACTTTAAAAATATTTATTGAACTTCAAAGGTTCTCTTAGTGGAAGAAAACTATGAGTCACATATGTTATCTGACTAAATATATTAAGAAATAATATGACTTTGTTGCAGATGAATTATACTTTATGTCCCTCATTCTTGCCAAATTTAGCAGCTTGACTCCTAAGACTTAATGTCTTAATTCAGACTTAATATCTGAATCATGTAAAATCAAACCAGAGGATCTCCTTAGTTATCTTTCCTCCAACTTTTGAATACAAAATTTTTTAGATCTGCATCTTCACAGTAATGTTTTATATGTATTTTTAAAAGCTTATCTGGTTTTTATTCTTCTCTTGATATTCATGTTGATACTCTTTAATCTTCAGAGCTAGACATTCTCTTCCCTACCTTTTAACTTAAAATCTTATTTATAGAAATAACAATTTCTGTTTCTGGTCACTTATGGAGTTTTCTTTTGGAAATCAAGAATTAATAGTGATATTTGAAATGTACATGTTTTCGATTTCTCAGTCAAATCTAGTGTCTCTTCATTTTGATGTAGTACAAAAATCTGTGAAGTACCACACGAATAGTGCTTAACACTTTATATAAACTTTCTGGTGATTTGCTAAGCTGTATTTTTAAAGTAATGAACCATATAACTAAAAATATTCTGTAGGATTTTACAGAAAATCACTCATACTAGAACCTCTGCCACAGGTAACTGAGATCCATTTGAAACAAGCCATAGGACTTATGGTCTCTTTGAACAAATTGTGTGAGTTTCTCATCTCTGAACCATTGTCTGTGGTTTCAAGAGGGATGAAACATCAATAATCTTAGACCCCATCTCAACCCCTTTTCTAGCAATGAGGTTGATTCTTTGGGCAGGAACAAAGTCCTTGCTGTACCCTGATGGCAGAATGTTGGATAATGGATATAGAGCCAGCACAAATGACCTCCTCCCTCTGCATTCTCTTTTCTTCCTCCACTGGCTTTTGCTGGGAGATGTGGGAATAAAGGAAATAGCTATGTAGATGTTGGCAGCCGTTTGACTGCTTTCATATCTGTGTTCTTAACAGTAGCCTGTTGTCTCTGGCCTTTTCCATAGAGCATGACATGTTTGTACTCCACTGGTGAAGTAATTCATTCAGTTTTTATTCATATTATTTCATCCATTCATTGGTTCATTTAGGATATATTTATGTGCTTGGTGTAGTGCTTCCCTTCTCTTCTATTAGGACTGTATGAATCTTCTGTGCCTGGTTGAAAGGGCTGAACACAAGCAGAACTAAGATGCTTAGAGGGGTTGGGAGCAGAGAGCAATCTGAGTAATTTTCCTTGCTAATCTCTACTTTGGCTTGTTAAAAGAAACTCTAGAAAAATTAAATTTGGTAGAGTTTATTTTAGCAAAGAAATCACTTGTGATTGTATAGTATCTTGAACCAGTAATGACTGAGAGAGCTCTACCCAGCAATATGGGCAGGCAATATTTCTACACAGGAAAAGAAAGTGACATATAGAAAGAGCTTATTGGTTAGCTCTGCTTATGCCTTATTTGCACATGTCTGAGCAGTTTGCAGCCTGTGATTGCCAGAAGCCTGACTGCTAAGATTGGCTGAGATTTGGTTACCTGTTACAAGGGTATATTCTCAAGTCAGCTGCAGTTTGTTTACATATTGGGTTAGGTTTCAGTTTGCTATATAGGTAGGCAGCTTTAGATCAAATTTAACAGGTTTCACCCATGGAAAACCCCAATGGTGTTTTCTTATCTTTTGGCAGGAAGGAATTCCCCAGTAACAAGTCGTTAGTCTTGAGTTTCATTAGTGGCTTCAGTGATGTAGTGCAATAGCCTCTTCCCTCACTTTGTTTTCAGTGAGAGTTGGGAACAGTGGGTGGTAAGATGAGGTTCAGTTCCTATACTCATCAGTCCTATCCTCAATTTAGAGAGAGCAGAGATGTAGAGAAGTGAGGACAGGGACGTATAGATAAGCAATAATGAAATATGAGAATCATACAGAAAGAAAGAGCGGCAGAGACAGAGAAAAAGAGACAGGGTGGTGAGGGAGATGAGAGAGAGAGAGAGAGAGAGAGAGAGAGAGAGAGAGGAGTAGAGGAGTCCTGGAAACTCCTTATCACTATGAAACACAAAACAGTTACTACAAT